GGCTCCGGCCGCGCGCTTCCCCGCCGGCCCACGCCCCCGCCGCCCTGCAACCTTCTTTTGAAAAATGCCCTTTCGAACACGAACGCCCGCCTCGGGGGCCCCCGCGGGCCCGGCTCGGGGGGAAGTTTGTGTTCTTTTTCAAATTGCTCTGGACACCTTAACGGTTTGAGGCTTCCGGAGTCACGCCCGCAGCCTGGCTGCCCCCCATCTGGCCGGGGCAGGGCTGCTCCTCGTCTCCCGCGTTCAGGACGCGCCAGCCATTTCTCCTCTTCTCCGCCTGCTCTTCCAGGCGGGCTGGGGGGCCTCCCAACGGCTTCCTCTCCAGCTTTCAAAGGCTGCACATTTCACTTAACTATTTGAAATATTTATAGACAAATACAATACCCAGGGAAGCCTCCCGCCCCAAGACAGCTCCTCCTTGCAACCTACCACAGGCTCTGTAATTAGAGTGGCCCGAGGAAGCCAGGAGAGGCTCCGTGACCCCGCGGGCTGCGGCTAAACCTTGCTGCGTTTCATGTAGGAGCCCCTCCCTGCCCGCGCCTCGGACGCACTGGCCCCACAGGTTCCTCGACTTTAATTCGCTCGAGGATTCCTCTTTTTGGGTTGCTCTCGGGGTTCCTTGCGGACTCTCAGACTTCCAGCCTCCACATCTATGAGTAATAAACGTTGGTTGTTTAAGCCACCGGTCTATGGCATTTTGTTATGGCAGCTGGAACTAAGATACCAGACCAAAGGAAAGTTCAATGTTTTAAAACAGCCTTTGCAGCATTAAAAAAATGTGAAGACGTCTTCCTACCCTGGCCTGCTCCAGCTCCCGCCTTATCTTCCATCCCTTCTATGTGTTAACTTTCTACTCTAGCTAGGCTGAAATGCACTCAGCCCTGTATACTCATATAAGCCTTGCTTGAGTTACTTCCATCTCTCTGAAATTGAATCACATGTGGTCCCTGCCACTAAACACGGCCGTTTGCCATCTGATGCCACCTCCTGTACTGTTGGCTTATTTAACTTGTTATTTATTGCTTTGTGTGTTTATTTTCTAATCAGAGAATAAATCTCTTGAAATTAGGAACTGCGTTTTGACTTTCATTAGATTCTCTCAGTATGGAGCATAAAGCTGTGGACAGAACAGCTATCCAAATTATTATTGAATGAATGAATGATGCTAGCAGCAATTCTCAAGGAGAGGTTGCCTTTTAGATTTAGGAACATAAGGACATAAGAAATGTGATCCTATATTAAACCTTGAGACTCTCTTGCCCAGAATTCTGGTTCTAACAGATGTACCAAGAGTTCTAGAAAGATACTGTGGTCTTCAACTTCTAAAGATGGTGCATATATTCCAAAGTGTTCCCATGGTTGTGATGCAGTGGTTCTAAAAGCATAGTTTCCAGAGCAGCAGCAGCAGCACCTGGAAACATGTTTTAAAAAGTCCCACCCCAGACCTACCGAATCAAAAACTCCAGAAGTGGGGCCCAGCAATCTGTGTTTTAACAAGTGTTTAACCCAGTGATTTTGATGCATACTAAAGGTTGAGAACCTCTGCCCTAATGAATACATACATAATGCGTTCAGTGCACTTTCAGGGCTTTTTAAACCTTGATATGCATAGGAATCACTGGGAATTTTGTCGAAATACAGATCCAGATCCCATAGGTCTGGAATGAGACTGAGATTGTGCTTTTTGAATAAGCTCCCATGTGATACCCATGCTGGTGGTCTGGAGATCACGGTTGAGTAGGAAGGTTAAACCACAGGCAGCAAAGGGGTTTCATCTCAAGGGCCATCTCTAGTTAAGTGACTTTCTGTCACATTGTGCTGAAAAGTATTCTGGGTGTACATCTATCTAGTTGGAAACAACAGCCTGATCAATTGATAATGTCTGTTATGGGTACAGAAATGGAAATAGTGACATACATGCTATGTATGTGCCATCTTTGATTTGCTGTTTAAATGATATTTACTGCCAAGTTCATGTTTTGACTATGAGACCCAAATATGTACAAATATGAAAACAGTGCAATCTTTTCTTTTATTAAAAGTATTTCTTTCTAGTATTCTGGAATTGGTAAACACTGAGCATTCACCTTAACCCTGTGTGATTTATGTAACTAAAGTCTGATACTTTCTCATCTTTCTTGATTGAAGACAAGTGAATCTTTGAGTCTGTTTTCAAATTTCTTTTCCTGCCTCTTTATCCCGTTAATTTTATTTGTTCTTTCCTGGAACATTTTTTATTTCCCTTTATATCTTTCCATAAACCTTCATTTTTCTTATTTAAACAAAATAATTTATCATCCTAACCAGACAAGGAGGGGAAATGAGATAATTATAAGATTCCTACTTAAATAAGATCATATCAAATTATAAAAATGGCCTATAAGTTTATTCCTTCCACACAGCCCACTATTTTAAATCCCAACTTTGACAACTCTTCTCTCTTTTTCTTCTGACTTTAAACTTTTAAAATCACCCAAATGCCTATTTGAAATATTATCAAAGATCTCAGGACCACCAAATCATCCTAAGAGTTTGGACAGTTCCCTGGTTGTAAGAGCCATCGTCAGATCAGGAAGCACCAGCTGCACCCCTCTCTGATCCTCAACATCAGCCGCTGGTGATTAGTGAATGTGAACTGGACTTTAGAGCTGACCTGCAAGTGACCAGCCCCATCAACACATCCTTCATCTGAGGTAAAGACCCTTGTCTGTCTGATCTCCCAAGAAGACAGTCCCACGAAGAGCCTGGAACATCTAAACCTCAGCCTGTCACAGAAAATACAGGGATCTGGAGAAAAAGTCAACAGCCTCTTGGAGACTCTGTATTATAAATGATGAGGGGAAAGGTTGCAAATTTCTGGAATAATTAAAAAAAAAACATTCCTGAGTTGATTTTGGAGCAAAAAACAAAAACACTAGCTTATTTTCAAAATGTGCTTTTTCTTAATTTTCTGTGACGTGGGTTGGCAACTCATTACACATATCTCAGAGATGGCACAAATGCCCACCTTTTAGTAGAGGCTGTGTTGAGAGCGCAGACATCTCAGACTGCGGGGAAGCTGGGGTAAGAGCCTTAGGACATCTCTTTAGAAAGCCTGTTCACCACCCACCTCACATCTGACCCACTTCCAGTCTCTAACTTTTTCCCAGATGGGCTGTGTGCAAATCGATATGCACAGTAGTGATCTCTGGGTTGTTTTTTTAGAACTGTAGACTGAGAGCTCCCCTGCCTGCAGATGCTAGAGTGTGCGGGGTATGTGTGAATGTTTGTGTTTACAGGTATTTGAAGCAATGGCCCTGACTAAACGTCAAACAAATGTGTAGCAAACCATTCCTTCAGTGGCTCAATCATTAATTCAATGAATAAATTGTTGAGAGTTATCTATGTGCCAGGCTTTGGGCATTATGATGGGAGCAGATAAGAATAAATTCTTGCTCCCTGCTGTCAAGGTTCAAAGGATGATGTAGTTGCTGTTTCTCAGCCTGAGATCACCCCTTCTCACAACCAAAAAATTGAGGGAACTCACAATCTAGTAGGGGAAGCTAACAAGGAAATAAATAAATGACAAATAGTATAACCAATACTCTAATAGAGGCAGTGCAGAATATACAGTGATAAACCAGGCACAAAGGAAGGTCAACTGTTCATGGGGTTATCAGCTATGTTGGTTAATTTAACTTTCTTTTTTTTTTTTTTTGTCTTTTTCCGTGTCCGGCAACGGATCGCAACCCTTGGTGTTGCCCCCGCGCCTCGCTCAGCCAGTGAGCGGGAACCGGTCTGTATGTGGGATCCGAACCCTTGGTGGGAGCGCTGCCGTGCTTCCCAAGCGGCGCACTATCCAGTGCGCCACCGGGCCGGCCCTAATTTAACTTTCTGACTAGCAAAAAAACTAGAGTAATGTAGAGAAATCTTTTTTTCTACCCTTACTGTTGAAACTCTAAGAGATGTGCTTTAAGGTCTAGGATCCATTCCTTTGTTTACCTCTTGCCTCATTTCACAAAAGATTTGAGGAAAGCCTATATTCAATGGCTAAATATAAATAAGAATAAATGTAATAGAGGATTGCTCCCGTGCCTCGCTCAGCCAGTGAGCGGGAACCGGTCTGTATGTGGGATCCGAACCCTTGGTGGGAGCGCTGCCGTGCTTCCCAAGCGGCGCACTATCCAGTGCGCCACCGGGCCGGCCCTAATTTAACTTTCTGACTAGCAAAAAAACTAGAGTAATGTAGA